TGCACTCACAAAATTGGTTGGTAAATTCAACGAGTGGGTGCATCGACCTGGTATATCAAGTTTCTGCAATTTTTTACGGCAAATCAGTAGATTTTCGGGATGTAGATTGCTTACTTTCAATTCATGAATGAATAAAGCAACGACATGGTTGAACTTCTTTGCATGGAAAGACGTTTAAAATAACAAAATCAAGACGTATTTAATGCAATTGCATTTATATCGAGTCAATTTCTTTTCAATAATATAACGGGATTTTTACTACCGGTGATTTGGGTATTTTAGCCCCAAAATACCTTTAAATCGACTTTATCTTCTAGGAGTTCGACAGAATTTTTCCTTTCTTCGCTTAAATTATTCCGTAGCACTTTTCTTCAAGAATCTGATAAGATTTTGCTTGAGGCAGATCAAAAAACTTAAATTCGATCGAATAGCTTTCTACTTTCACAATACACGGTCTCGTCAAGGTGCGTCTTTGACCTCGCAGTGTTGGATCGTGAATTCTCTTTTTATGCTGTTTGCCTATTTTGAAATCTCTGTAAATGAAAACTAAAGGGGTTGATATGTGCGAGTTAATGACGCGCCTTATCAACACATTGTGTTGGAGTTCACTGCTTGTTTTTTATATGAAAGTGGCCTTTCACACTGTATAACTTTCTCTCAATTTTTGAACAGAGATCTGAAATGCTAAACACCCTCTCCGGGAAGCTACCTTAGAATATGAAGAATCAACGCAAAAAATTTAAAGTTTCAGTGGTGCATAAAATGTATCTGTCCAAAAAATGGAATATCAGAAAGAATTAGGTAACGTTTGGTGTTTTAGGCTGATTCCATCCGTACCTACTCGGTTGTGCTAAGGAAAAGCGCCATATGAACTTCCGAAACTTGCAAAATTTCCCCCAATAAAATTTGTATTTTTAAAGAGAGTTTTGAATGATTGCAATTACAGTTCTCAAATTATTTTAGTCTGACTGCGAATAAGCACCTGTAAAAAGAAGGGAAAATATTCACAGGTTTCCCTAAAAAGTCGTACTTCATCTAGGAAAATTTGGCAGCGTCCAAAGGCTCATACGCCGTTCCTCCTTTGCACCGCAGAATTACTTTGGTTCTTCTATGGACTCTAACAACCCTGCATCGGATAATCCCTACAAAAGGACCGACTCGTGTGCTTCAATGTTTCAATTTCACAAAAGCAACCCCCCTCCCTCCCCCCCCATGTCGGCCCCGTCGGTCGCATTTTCCGAGCGACCAGCTCGCGTCATTCATCGAGATTGCAATTCAAAGCCGTAAACTCGGCACACAAACCGAGCGCGGATCGATTATGCATCGTTGTAATTTGCTACCTGGCCGATTCTACCGTGCTAAGGAAAAACGCCGTATGGACCCTCAGGCGTTGCCAAATTTCCTTTGATAAAATGCGAATTTCCTGGTAAACTTATGAATGTTTTCTTCCCAATTTTTCAGATAATTTTGTTCGCAATCTCATTTAAAGATTCTGAAAATTTAAATGAAAAATATTCATAACTTTCCTCAAAAATAAACATTTTATCGAAGGACATTTGGCAACTCTCGAATGTTCATACGGCGCTCTTCAGGATTGTTGGGCACCGAACATCCCCCGCGTCGGGACGGGGGGCTTCCCCATTGACGCCTTCAATCCATCGGACGCAACGCGCATCGCAGCGACACACAGTGGATCGAGGCAATGTGAAAGATCGGACATGGAATTTTTGACTAAAACTGCAATATGTTTATTTCGGCACATTTTAAATTTCAAGGGGTGCATTTGAAAGAAAATTTTACGAGGAAATTAATGGAACCACTTTTAGAACCTCAAAGCTATGTATAAATGGAGTTATACGCGTTTAAAGTTTCCAAATTTTGTCCGAACTCTCCGATGGACTCGATCTTATGTGCGGCGGACGCGGCAGCCCGTGGAGCATCATCGCGTTTGAAGGTTGGGTTCGCTCGAGTGGAAGAACGAATGGCGACGCTCTTGCAGGCGGCTAAATTGAGTCCGGTGCGGTGATATGTGCCTAGTGCAGAGTACCAGTACCTATACTACCGTGCTAAGGAAAAACGCCGTATGAACATTTGAGAGTTGCCAAATTTCCTCTCAGAAAATAGTTATTTTTGAGGAAAGTTATGAATATTTTTCCTTGACATTTTTTAGAACCTTAGGTGCAGGTGGGAACAAAATTATCTGAAAAATTGGAGGAAAAATATTTACAAATTTCCCCGAAAATTCGTGATTCATCAAAATATGAATGTGGGATATCTGAAAATTTCAGCAAAATTATTCACGAGGTTACTGAGGAATTCACGGTCTATCGCTGGAAATCTGGCAACGTCTGACTGTGATTGATGCGGCTTTTTTTCCTTGGCACGCAAAGAGGTAGTAAATTAGAATCATCGGTTATCGATGTATCAAATTTCTCATTTGGTAAGAATCGATTATGAAAGCATATCCTGATAATCGATCCTTTTCCATAGGTTTAAATGGCAGATCGATCGATTCAACTCACCTGTGTCGAGAGGAGGACTGCCCGTACATAAGCATATATATTGGCGGAGACACCTGTTGTTGGTCCCGCGATTACTAGAACGTAAGTGATTCCTAGAAGGGGGATCAGTACTATAAGCGCCTTGGTCGCTTTCCTATATTGCTGCGTCTCAGCGTTATTTGCTGACCTCAGCTTCGTGATTAGCACCTGTTGACATAGAAACAAACACATTATGACGTTTAGCCTGGCGTGAACGAGTCACAATATGAAGACTAGATTGGTGGTAGCCTACACTGCCGTACTACGGATGAACGCCGTATGAGCCAGTAAGCGTTGCTACACGGAAAAGAACAAAATTGCTGATCTTACCATTTTGTAGTTATAAAAGTGTCTAGTTTCTGTATTCAAAAAAATTCAGCATGCTTGATGAATTTCAGTAGGGGGGAAAAAATTGATTCAAGCAGAAATATGCTCAAATTTATCGTTGAAAGGATTTCCTTGTGAATCAGTAAAGAAAATATAGCTTGTTTAAAGAAGAAAAGATGCTTATATAAAAAGAAAAGTCACTTACGTCAAGCAAAAGCCCGCTTTCATTCAGCGATTTTATTCTTTATTCAATATAAAATCTTCTTGGCGGCATTGTTTAGAATGTTCCTGCCTAAATTGAGTCGCTGTTTTCCTCAAATGAAATTCAAAAATTATGCTAAACGTTATTAAAGACGAATGCTAGGAATTAGTACGTTTTTTGACTAACGCTCTCTTTATGTGCTGTGGTATCTTGATTTATTCTGCGATTAAAGCTCCGTAGTCTTAAAGTATGCCTGTCATTCTTAATACGTCAGAGCGCATTCAGTTTTGTATAATACTGTGCAACACCTCTGTTGCGAAATAGTTGCTTGAGGCACCGCCGCGTCGCACGCGGCAGCAGACTGCCAGCGCGAGACGCGCATTGGCGCCTACAAACCTAAGTGGATACTTCACGCATTGCGCAATGCGTGAAGTATCCACTTAGGTTTGTAGGCGTCAGGCGGTTCGCTCTGGCAGCACGCCTCGCCGCTCCGATCTATGTTTGGCTCTAATATACTCACGGAGTTAGCATTTTTCAACTCATGATTTTGAAATTTTTGCACAATCTGCAAAGATTATTCTCTTTTAAATTGATGTGAAAGAAATGTATTAAAGGAAAATATACTGTGTGTTTTGTAAATAATAAGGTGCTTCCGTGTCAAATTTAATAATTTCCAAAGCACTTTAATTTTTACTTTTACATTTTGTGCTTTTAAATACTGCTGAAGCGTCGTGGTATACTCGAAACCAAACGCTTAAAATTGGACGGACTTGACTCTCTAAACCAAAAGATCAATATACAAATGGGTTAAAGCCAAAATTGCATGATCTTTGGTTTTTTCTTCTTTTATTCATTTTTTTACAGTTCATTTCAACATAACTACGGCTCACGAGGTTAATATCGATGTCATCGCTTGGAAATTTACAAATATTTACCACGTTTTAAAAATGTAAATAGTTTCAAAATGAAAGCGTGACACGAGCAAAATTCAGACATCGGGCCGATAACTTCCACGTTCAAGTCACATTCAGCTCCCACATTCAGCGTGTGATTGTGGCATCCGTCTATGAAAACCACTCATTGCAACCAATAGGATCGCTCCATATTCTTTACGTCCTCTTTGTCTATCGATTTGTCTATCAATTTCAACAATCAGCCCGCTCGTGAGATTTTGAAGGTTAATAACTAGGTAGTTGACCTGCAGAACGAAAAAATTCCGAAGTATATAAGTCAAAAATACTCAGGAAAAACCGCAAAATCCAGCAACATCGAGTTCTCTTTCTGACTTATGCCCTCTCTGAATGAATAAAACTGCTGTCAGCCAATTTCTCGCGACGAAAGAGCGAGAGTCAGCACTTGCCACACTTCATCCAAAAATCACCCTGACGAAGATTTGAAATAGGGGGGATTCTTGTCCCTGGTCTTTTATTAGCATATAAATATGTTCTACTCCTACTTTTTTGGCCTAAATATGAAGGAAATTCTTTTTTCTAATAACGTTCGTTAAAGATTGCCTATTATTCATGTTTTTTTATAATATTTTACCGTTTGAATGGTCTCAAACTCTCGACCGTCACGCATCCCGACACCATATCTGCCCTACTAAGGAAGAACGCCGTATGAACCTTCATGCGTTGGCAAATCTCCCTTGATAAAACGTAAATTTCCTGGTAAATTCGGGAATACTTTTCTTCCAATTTTTCAGATAATTTTGCTCGCAAATCCACCAAAAAGTCCTGAAAATTTCAAGAGAAAATATTCATGACTTTTCTAAAGAGTGAAAATTTTATAGGAGGAAATTTGGCAACTCTCGAATGTTCGTACGGCAATCTTCCTTAGCACGGCAGATATGGTTCCTGGCTTGCACTGTTACAACTCGAAGAGTGAAACGTTATTTGAGAACTTACACATGATTAAATATTTAAGAACGTTTCTCCCTCATAAAAAAAAATAAATAGAAGATAAATAATTTGCAGCATAATTCGCTCACGAGCGTTCGAAAAAGTTTAATCACGACCGTCACAGCTAGACTTTAGAGATAAATGCTCCTACCAAAAAGCGTGTAAGTGGCTCAACCGGAATCCGGTCGGCGTAAGGTAATGCCCAGGGATGCCCTGAAGTGGGACTAAGTATTTATTTTTACCAGATTGAAGTTTTTGGTGAATTGCGACGACATCAGTTGGCAAGAAATAATTATGTTCACTTGGGAGGTCACGACCGTCACGCTCGCACGACGCACGACGTCATCTACCGCGGCAGTGACACCCTTGATTTTTCCTCCTTACTGTCATCAGTCAAGGAGACACACATTTGCACTGGTTACTCAACGTGAAACTCGGATGAAAGCAAGATGGAAGAAATCAAGGGCCAAGGGTGTCACTACCCCCGTGGATGACGTCATGAACCGGTTGGAACCGATTTTTTCAAAGCGCGATATCTCGACGAATAGATCGTTTTCGATACATCAAATAGGTGAGATTGTATCGATATCGATTGGTTCAACATGTAAATATAGCCTCCAAAGTCAATCGAGTAATCTGAGGAAACGGGTTTTTTCTGATAGATTTTTTATTCTTATGGGTACTAAATGGCATCGCAAGGTGAAATAGGTAGAAATTCTCTCATTTTCAGCTTTTCCGACTGAAATCCTGAAAGTTTTGTTTGAGGTTATGTTCTATTGTTTTGAACCAAACGATACATCAAACCACCATCGAAAACAATCTATATCAGACGTAGAAAGTTTTTGTTTGGACAGATCTTATTAATGTCTGCTGATCTTCAAAAATCAAGCATCAAAAAAGGATTCTGAGACCAGCGCAACTGATCCATTGAGAGGTGAATCTCAAATTTCCTCGAAGTGATCGCCGTAATTTTCAAGTCATATGCCTTGCGAAACGTTCTTTCCTGCTCCAGCAAAAGTTTGCGAGGGGCGGATTCCGCGCGATTTGGCGCGCTCGGAGGGTGCTTTGCGGGTTGACAGGGACTGTATGTTCAGGCGCAAGAGAGCGAGAGACTTCGTTTCGGGGTTGAAGCGAGTGCTGGCGGCGGCTGGCGAGAGTCGACACTCGAGACTCGAGACTCGACAGCTAATCACGTGAAAGGATTGTTTTGGCGGTATCGCGTATCGCTCGCAGCGTGAGAGATTACTTTTTTAGAAAATTGAAAAAAATCAGCGCGACGCGAGATGCACGGCCAGACGCGATGACAGCCGCGCTCCGCCATAACGCGCGAGGCGAGGCGACTGACCGCGGGAAATGTTGCCAAATTTTAGGGCGTTTCTTAAATTAAAAATAGAAAAGAAAGAAACGAAAAGGAAAAAAAGAAAAGAAAAAAAAGAAGAAAAAGAAAAAGAAGAAAAGGAAAAAAAAGAAAAAAAGTAGTAGTTGTAAAATAATTTTATTTTAAAGCGGTGCTTTAGCATCAGCTGAGGCCATTTACACCTCTAAAGAGGACAGTAACAGTAATAAATTTACATGGAAAAAGAAAAGAAAAGAAAAGAAAAGAAAGAAAAGGAAAAAAAGAAAAAAATAAAATAAAAAAAAGAAAAGGATAAAAAGGGAAAAAAATAAAAGGAAAAAAAGGGAAAAAAAGAGAAAAAAAGAAAAGAAAAAAAAAGAAAAAAAAAGAAAAAAAAGAAAAGAAAAGAAAGAAAAGGAAAAAAAAGAAAAAAAGAGAAAAAAAGAAAAAAAAAAAAGAAAAGAAAAAAAAGAAAAGAAAAAAAAGAAAAGAAAAAAAGAAAAGAAAAAAAAGAAAAGAAAAAAAAGAAAAAAAAGAAAAAAAAGAAAAAAAAGAAAAAAAAGAAAAAAAAGAAAAAAAAGAAAGAAAAGGAAAAAAAAGAAAAAAAGAAAAGAAAAAAAAGAAAAGGAAAAAAAAAGAAAAAAAGAGAAAAAAGAAAAGAAAAAAAATAAAATAAAAAAAAGAAAAGAAAGAAAAGAGAAAAAAAGGAAAAAAAGAAAAAAACACGGGAAAGCTCTTATGCTTGTATGAACCTACACAGAGTAACGCGTAACTTATACGGAGAGAAATTTCAACACACAAATTTGGTTAATCTGAGAAAACGGGGTTTTTCTGATAGGCTTTTCATTCTTAAAGAGTACTAAATGGCATCGCAAGGTGAAATAGTTAGGAATTTTCTCATTTTCAGCTTTTCCGACTGAAATCCTGAAAGTTTTGTCTGAGGTTATGTTTCATTATTTTGAACCAAACTATACATCGAACCACTATCGAAAACGATCTTTTTTTACTATGTTTCAATTTTTTGTTTTGTTTTGTTTGCGTTACCTACTGATACTAGGGACGGTTCGCCAACAGTGCCAAGACTTGTCGATAGGACGCAAGAGTGAGTCAAGTTATTCTTCGACTAGTTCTCCTCGTTTTGCGGGCTCGTATTTTCCTCGAAAGCACTGCATTTCAAATTACGTCTTTTGACACGCTTTTTACGAGTCCACGTCGGGAACCGCACCCGTCGCGGAAACCAATAGAATTACGTCGGAATAAATGGAAAATGCAAGCGGGAATATTCTCCTTTCGCAGATGGGTTTAAAAAATAAATATGATCGCCCACGACAAACAGAATAAATCCGGACCGATTCAAGATGGCGCCAGAGAACGATAAACGGATTTACAGAGTATTGACGATCGAGTATCGATTGTTAAATGATATTTATCGATTATTAGTATCTCTGTGATGGGGGTTTATCGATCAACACGGAAACAATAAAATTTCTCGTTTTATTATTAAATTAAGGTCCAAATATTGGATTTGGTGCTTGAATAATGAGAATGTGTCTCGTTTATTCCTCACGAGTGGTCATAAGCAAATAACACTTCATTTTGACCTGAAGGATCGATCCTTGAAGTGTCCGCAACTGGGTGGTTGAATCGGTTTCAAATCACATTCACGGAAAAAATTAAATTGCTGATTCAACAATTCAATTGCTTAAAAAAAAGTGTTTGCAACGTTCAGATTTTACAACAAAAAATGCTACTTTAACCACTATTACCACCCCGTGGTTAAATTAGGTTACAATAGTGGTTAAAGTAGCAATTTTTTTTTGTAAGTAAAATCTACATTGGAACATTGCAGACACTTTTTTTTAGCAATTGAATTGTTAATTCAGCATTTTAATTGTTTTCGTGAAGGTGATCTGAAACCGATTCAACCGCCCTGTTGCGGACACTTCAGGGGTCGATTCTTCAGGTCAAAATGAAGTGTTATTTGCTTTATGACCAGTCATGAGGCATGAACGAGACACATTTTCATTATTCTAGCACCAAATCCAATATTCGGACCTTGAGCCCCCACGCTTAATTAGTTATAATTCGTAGGGGGGATTTTTAAGAAAATTATAGATTTACTTTCCACAAAACACTTTTGTCAGAAAGTACAATATCACTAACCAAGTCGCCACTCGTGTTCAATCAAAAATTCAAACAGCGGAAATCGAGCGAGGGTCGCTGTTGCGTGATCAACACTCTAGAGCACAACATTCACCAGGGAATCATGACGAAGCTTACTACCGTGATGATGGAAAACACCGTATGAACCTCCAGACGTTGCCAAATCTACCGTGACAAATCATAAATTTTCGGAATAATTTGTAAATATTTTTCTTCCGATATTTTAGAGATTTTCGTTCGTAGTTTGATCTTAAATATTTGAAAATTTCAAGGATACATACAGTGGCCGCTCGCTAATTCGAAACTCAAGGGACCGAGCGTTTTTTTCGTAATAACGGGTTTTCGAATTATCGAAATTTCGAATTATAGAGAGCGGCAACAAGGAAAATTCGAATTAACGGGGTTTCCAAGACAGCTCTGTAGTTCGAAGTAATGGGCCCAAAATGCTCTATAATTCGAAATATGGGACGATAGGAAACGAAGTCATTCGTTAGTCTAATCTCTCATGCCGGGCAAGCTTTTAGATCAAAACAACACCGCCGCGACAGATTTCGAATTACAGAGCGTTTCGGTCCGGCTCCTTCGAATTATAGAGCAGTTTGCCGAGCCGTTTAACCGCTGAAAAATTCGAATTAGCGAGGGGAGACAAATACTTTGATTTTTTTCGAAATAAAGGGATTTTCTCACGGGGATCGACTTCGCCTTCGAACTAACGAGATTTTCGAATTAACGGGTTTCGAATTGGCGAGCGGCCACTGTATTCATAACATACCTCAAAAATTAAAATTCCCTACTCTGGGATTCGGCAACATTTGAATTATCATACATGTCTCCGATTTCTCATGTTTCCTGAACATGGTAGTTCACCGCGAGAAAATAATCGAACGTTTGAGAAAACCGCCGTATGAGATTTCGAACATTGCCAACTTTATTCTGATTAAGTACAATTTTTCTGGAAAATTTGCTGATATTTTCTTTTGAATCTTCCGAAGATTTTCAAGTGTGGAACAATAAAAATATTTAGAAAATTTAAGGAATATAATTCATAATGTGTACGTATAAGTCACTTTTACGGCGTGCTGGGGCGCTCTGCGACGCCCACCCGCCACAGGAACCTGACCGGATAATCATAATTTCCGTGGAAAATATAAATCTGTTGGGGAGGAATTTGGCAAAATTCGTATGCTCATACAGCGTTTTTCCTTAGCAAGATAAAACTGGCGTGCAACATTCGACGCGCTTCCATCAACTTCACTGAATTTTGGCTACGGGCGAAATTGATTTATTTACCAGCCAGGTAAATTGGGAAGTTTATTTCCCAGGAGGTATTTAGACAAGGCCGAAGTTTCTCCGCTCTTGTGAGCCACTCAACTAGAAACTGGTGCTAAAGATGCTGCTTTCAGTGCGAACAATTTGCTTTGTCTTGCTCCGACTGATCTTATTTTTCCGTGCAACAGGGCGCAGGAATATCGTGAGATTACTGCATAAATCGTCGCTCCTCCGATACAAGGGCGTATCTCAATTTCCACATGAGCCTCAAGGAGCATTGATTAATATTCGTGACAGCAGGCCGATTATTGAAAAATATAGAGAAAGCAATAGACAAAGAGGACAAAAAGGATATGAGGGGAACCTATTGCTGATAGCAGGTGGTTCAAATGGACAAAAGGACGTAGGCAACCCACGAGAGACCCGATAATTAGTCGGGAGTTGCCGAATTGGTTCCTAAGTGGCCCAATTGGTTCCCTTTTCCGAAGACGGTCATTTCCGTATTGGTTCCCACTTTCGAAGGTCGTATTGGTTCCCGAGTCCGAATTAGTTCCCACCTGTAAATTCCCTGGTAAAAATTGGCGACAGGCTCTGCGTTTCAAAATACCATAGGAGTTCTTATAGCCGACCAAATAAGGCTATTGAAAATCATAAAGTTGGCTGTAGAAAGCTGAGCAAATCATATATCCGGGCTATACGAAGCTATAAAAAAATATACAGTCGGGCTAAAGTTCCTATCGCCGGGCTTTACACTTTATCGACATTGGTGGCTATAAAAGGCTATCAGAAATTGTGTAGAAATTCGTGTACTTTGGAAATCATTAAGTTTGATACGGAACCACCTTAATATTTACAAAACACACATTATATTTTCCTTTAAAGCATATTTTTTTTTTCATCAATTAAAATGAGAATAATCCATACAGAGTGTGCAAACATTTCAAAATCATGAGTTGAAAAACGCTGACTCCGCGAGACTAAGTATTAGAGCTTGACACAAAGCGGAGCGGCGACGCACTGGCACCTACAAACCTGACAGGGATACTTCACGCATTGCGCAATGCGTGAAGTATCCCTGTTAGGTTTGTAGGCGCCATTGCGCGTTTTGCGCTCTCTACCCGTCCGCCGCGCCGCAGCGTGCCACGGCGTCTGAAGCAACTTTTTCACACTAGAGGTATTGCACAGTCCTCCTCCTTCTTCTTCTTCTTCTAACGACTAGAGCAAGAGCATAGCCCTGTTTGTCATGCCATCAAGTATCGAGTAAAAATATCATATAAATATTAAAAAATATAAAAATCTAATAATATAAAATGTTAGCCAAAATATTTGCACATCAAGATTCCGCAATCGTGTTTTTTAATTAATATATCAACGTGGTCCTCAATGGTTTTACAAGAATGTGTGGTGCATAAAACGATTTATTTTCTAGAGTGAGTATAACACCACTTACCCACATAATACTGATGAGAAAAATAAAATTGATTCCTAAGACTAGAACGGCCGGCACTTGGTAGATCCAGTCGTAAGCATGAGGACTCATCCACCTGCAGTCATGCCGCATTATACTACTACCAGTCTCCACCTGAAACAAATGAAAGTGTCAATTCACAGTTGAAGCAGCTATTTATTTGCAGTAAATTTTTCACGCTTTGCTCGTAAAACATGTTTTGGTTTAAACGTGCTTGGAGGAACAGCAATTATAAAAATAAAAATAAAATATACAATTTAAATATATAAAATTCTTTATATTATTTTTATTTTCATTTTTCAGTTTGTTTGACATAAATCCCTGCCCTCGGCAAAATCTGGTAAAATTTTCCCTGTACCTTGTACTGAACTGAAATTCAATGGAGCTCTTGCATGTGTGCAATGTACGCACTGATTCTCGTGTATAAAATTTCGTGCACCAATAAAAATATGTTTGGTTCCCTTTGATTAATATACAATGTTAAGCACAAACCAACACAAATTTCGTATTGATTTTGGTACAGGTTGTGGTGAATATAGCGCAAAAATTAATGCAGCGACCGGGAAAATGCTTTCCTCCGATTCGACGTTGGTATTCACGACTCGTTTTTTTGTTAAACTTCAAGAAAACTAGCTGGCATTTTATCTTGAAATTTATACTGAACCGCAGGCTAGGGTTATTTTGTGTTTTACCTCCCGTATTAACCAACTTTTTGTTTTGAAATTTTCTCGAAGTTCAGACCGCAATGAAGGGAATATCCAACACCAACCTGAAGGTCCATCTCTATATCACATCGAACTCTCCATGCAAAGATAGCGGGTAAATATATTAACACGGTTGCCACTTTGTTTGGGGACTCCAAAACTAAAAGCACGGCAACGCCCTGCTAACGTATTTGCTTTCTAGCTGTGAATGGAGAGTGTGGCTAATTACATACTGCCGTGCTAAGGAAAAAAGCCGCATGAACATTCAAGAGTTACCAGATTTCTTTTGATAAAACATGTATCATTGACAACATTCATGCAAATTTTTCCTTGAAATTTTCAGATATTTTAGATTAATTTGCCGAAAAAATTGACTGGAATTTTTGGAAAATTATATTCACAATTTTCCCAGTAAATTCGGTGTTAATCGGTGGAAACTTGGCAATGTCTGAGGGCTCATACGGCGCTTTTTCTTAGTCCGGCAGTACAGGTGGACTCTCAGAACAGCGTAGGCTATTCCATCTATTACGGCCTCAACTTTGACAGCCTTTTTTGAGTTTCGGAGCACATTTTAGAGAAAACCAGGGGCAGCATTGTATTTCTCGCAAAATTGTAAGCAAGGAGCAGCACTTAAATCGCAAATTTTCTGCACATGCAAGGAGCTTCATTGCCTGTTAACAGTTAAATCTTCCCTACTTTCTTTAAATCTTCTTTCTATGAGAAAAATACAGTTCGATTTTTCCGATGAATTGCCTCATGCTCCCTCCAATCTGTCCAGGAGAATGTATTTCTGCTATACACATCGCTCCTAACAGCGAGTGGGACTCGAGTAAAGGTAACAGAGCTCCTTCAGCCCTATGACTATGCAATTTGAGCTACTCAGATGTTAAAATAGTTGTATCACTAAAACCGGCACTCATCCTTACTGTTCTTTTTCACCTATTTTTTTCTTCATATTCCTCTTCTCCTCCTCCCTCTTTCCACCACCTTTCTTTCCCTATTTTTCTTCCGCTGTTCCTATTTCTTCCCATTTAGATGAATTCTCATCTGACATAATATCAGGAGCCTTGAAACTCGAGTCCACCAGACCAGGGTTTTAAGTTTAACATCCTAAAACGGTGCCGAGAATTCTCAACGCATCGCTGTCGTGGCGTGAAACTTTCAAGGGGTCGAGATCTTGCAGCGGTAACACACATTACAGCCGTGCTAAGAAAAAACGCCGTATGAGCCTTCAGGCGTTGCCAAATTTCTTCCGTTAAAACGCAGATTTCCTGGTAAGCTTACGGATTTTTTCCTTCCAATTTTTCACGTAATTTTGTTCGGAGTCTTACCTTAAGTTCCTGAAAATTTCAAAGAAAAATATTCATAACTTTCCTCGAAAATAAAAATTTCACCGATAGAAATTTGGCGATTCCCAAATGCCCACACGGCGTTCTTCCTTAGCACGGCAGATTAATTCTACCTCCTTTTCACTCTCAGTTCGCCTTGATTTAATCGGGCCCTCTTAACCGCGGCGAAAGAAATATTTCCTGATGATAGATCACCCCACCGCAACATTCCTGTTTCGAATGCGGTCAAGTACTTCCGGAAAAATTCCTTCCCTCTGGTGTTGTTTTGCCTTCGGTTACCTTTGCAAGCTTCGCCGATGACGACGAGAGCGCTCAAAAGCCCCTGTTCCGTCGCCCTGGACTTCGAGTTGTCGTAAATCAGAGCTTTTGAGTATACCAGTGCCCCCTATTTTCATGAGAGGCGCGCTCACAAAAATCTGGCATTTACTCGGAGCGCACCCTGCAAATTGAATTATATTAAGTATTTTTTAAATAGATAAATTCAATAGGTCTGCGGGTTAAAATAGATCCGCAGCTTTGGCACGATGAATTCTATGAAAAATGGTTTCTTTTTGAAAAATCGCAGGGAAAGCCTTTAAATCAATCATCAAACCAACAATCATCTTAAAAGTATATCAAATGGACTAAGGACTGAGCCTCCTGACCACTGCGCGGTCTAACCCCAAGAAGCGCTTCTCACCTCCGGAGTTGTGCGTTTCGCGTTACATTTATGATTTTATATAAAAGAGTATGATTTGATATGATATGTGCAAATTATAGGGCCATTAATTAATAGTTGCTCCCGATTTTGAAATGTAGTCACATTTAGCCTCAGCCTTGTATATTTGACTCGAAATTGAAGTGAATAATACTATTCACACATTTTTTAAAGAAACCAAAAGTTTTATTTCTACCCATAAAAAAGTTGAAAGTTGGAGACAGTATTTTTTAACTTATTGAAGGTTTTCAAGGTTGAATTTTGTACGAACACGCTTTTTTTTCATAGCAAAACCACGTTTTTAAGTCTTCTTTTGCAATTTTTGGTTGCAAATTAATCTTATGACTCGCATGCAAGAGCTTTGGTCGTTATTTTGGCTGAAAAGTAAAAATAATCCGAGATTTCCGATTTAAAGAATGCAGTGCGATTCCGCCTGAAACTGGGTACGATCCACATGAACATCGTTCGAAAATATTTATGAATTACAAGAGGTGTGTGCCAGTTAGGCTTGACGGTTATTTTATACTTACGTGGGCATGCGATAACGTCTATGTGTTGGAATTGGAACACGATAAGATTTTTAGTTACCTGCAGATCTGTTGGGGCGAGGGATTTCGCCACAGCCCAGGCGGCTACAATCAGGACAGGGATCCCTGCAAAGCATACGGAATTAAATAATTATACAAATAAATATTTCAGACGTGACCGATGCACATATCGAGTTTTGGAGCCATTTTCTTCGGGAGGTAACTCTTTTACTGGCCAAAGAAAAACTTTGCAACGTACCAATTGAATAATGACGTCACATTTCAATCAGCGGTTCGCTAAAAATGCTTATCCGCAACGCATCAGGGCTGATCGAGTGATCAAGCCAGTCCCCTATTAATGCACCGTAATTGCATTTGACAATGCATGGATAATGCAATTGAGTGTCCTCGGTACCGGCTGAGACTTCCGCTATTATCATCGTGGATGGGAGGGAGTTAAGGAGCTTGGCGTAAGTCTTTCGGCGGCGGCGCACGGTTGCCAGACTGCACGATAAAATGCGCATAATTTCCATGGGTTTTAGTGGGAGAAAATGCTGATTTTCAGCACTGTCTGACACAGTGGTGTGGCACGCATTGCGATACATCGATTGATCTGCCATTTACACCTATGGCAAAGGATCGATAAACAGGGTGTCCGCAACGATAACCTTGATGATCGATTCTTTACCATGCCCTCAAATGGAGATATATCGATACTCGATCATACGCCTCGCTACTGGTCTGGCAACTATGCCGGGCTTCGAGCGAGGGCAGATCCCGGTATTAGGCCCGAGTCTTCCGAGATTGGAAAGGATGAGGAGAGGCTGAGTCGTGACCTCTGCGGCACCNGGGGGGGGGGGGGGGGGAGAAGGCGCGGCCAGGGAGGTGACTCGCCTTGATTAGGGGTTTATTGAAAAAAAAGTAGGGGTAGGCCGGCGCTTCATCGGTGTCCCCCGCGGCGCACAGTGGTGCGATTGGAGGGGAGGAAAAGATACCCGGGTCGTACGAACAAAATCGTTCAGTGGGCACCAGGTATGCGATTTTAAGGTGAGAATCGATTTTGATTAAAAGGAGAAGAAGAAAAATTAGATTACAACCGAATCGTTTTGGGTGTGAAAATCGATTTTTTTTAAAATATTGATTCTTAAATTTCGATTTTTCCACCTGTAAATGAATCGAGTTTTGAATTAGGAAAAAAAAAGGAAATTAACACATATAATGATTGTATTAAAAAAATTAAAAAAAAAATCGATTTTTCAGTAAAAGGTTGGCGAGAGGGAGTGGAGGGGGAGATCAGACGGTGTAATCTGCCCGATGATTTGTGGGAGGATCGATTCCGATGGCGATTTGGAGTCGCAGAGCGCTCTAGTGCGCTGAGGTAGCGGCTTGACATGTATGTATTAAAAAAATCAGAGAACAGGTTACATTTTTCAAAGGAAACAAATTGCATTGACAGGCATAGATGGTGACCAATTTTAATGAAAACTAGGGGGAATATGCTTTAACTGGGTCCTGGAAAATTTGAAAAAAAAAAGTATACGGAAGTCTGTGTGAGGATAATCAAAATATCCGAAGAAAATCGATAATCACAGATGGGAACTTAATGTAATAAAATAAAAGAACAACTTAATTTGGGGAAAAGGCTGCAAATAAAGAACAAAGGATAAACAAAACCCGGAACGTTTCAAAATAGTTACAATTTCATTTTCAACCAGAAAATAAATTAAAAATAAAAATAAAAAAACGAGCCGTCGCCACGCTGTTATTGCGAGACCGAGACTCAAAAGTATTAAAATAAAACATACAAACATAAAAGTTTGTTCCGCCGTTTTTTCTTTAATCTATATAAAAAAAATATAACTCACGAAAATAGACAAAAAATCTCAAATTTGCATCGATTTATAATTAAAAACTACTCGGGCGATTAATCGGAGATAAAAATCGATTCGATTACATCGATTAATGTGGTAGAAAAAAATCGATTTTTGATCAAATTGATTGCGACTTTGCATCCCTAACGGACAGTTTAGGGTCAGAGAATCAGTGACGATAATTGGACTGCATTTTGCAATTTGGACCTATAAATTCCGGCCCGGTTTAAAAACAACGTATGTGCCATTAGTTTACCTATGCACATAAGTGTTTTATCCGATGAGCCAGAATTTATAGGTCCAAATTGCAAAATGAAGTGCAATTGAAAGTTGGCAACATCGTTTCTCCTCCATTTAAATTTATGTAAAACAATCGATTCTTGGAGGCAGCTTGCTTCACCAAAAATCGATATTTTTAATGGATTTAAATGGAGGAACAACAGTGTTGCCAACTAGAAAAATCGCCACCGCAGAGAACAATTGAGCCATCAGTCGGGCAAACCGACCGCCTTAGTTGGCAGAATTGGATTACAGTCCGGTGAACCGAGAGCTTAGTTCATCGAACCGAGAATTTTTCGGTCGATATGAAACAAATGTTCCACATGAGGTAAATTTTGTCGATTCGTAGAATTATATCGCCATTCTATCGATTGATGTGGTCGGTTTGCATGACTGAAAGCTCCGTTCTCGAACAGAAAACGCCTACTAAACTATTCGGTCCGTAAAACCGAAGTTCCCCCCAGTCCAGCGAAGTTCTTAGCAATTGTCTTTTGGAGTTGTATTATGTACTTTATGTCGATGGCAAAAGTCAAAAGATTTGTATGCCCGATTACGACGTTGCTGGTCTACGATTTTGTTTTATTTATTTAATTTTTTCAGAGGAGAAAAAATAAAATAAATAACTACTCGCTTTTCATTATTTTAGTCGAGAATTTTCTGCACTCACTTGACTGTATTCCCTGAAAATCAACGGATAATTATTTTGCTAGTTTTTTTTAAAACGATACAACAAAATCGCATATATTTTTGATGGTTCTTTTCTAAAAGAATGAAAAATAATTTTGGATTTTTTAATGCTGCGAAAGAGGTACGCATTTTCCGACTTGAGCCATCGATATGCATTCAGTTCATGATCCCATTCCTTCAGACGAGAGAACGCTGCTATTTCAAATTTGCAAGATTCATATTCGAAACTTGTACTTTAATCATTGATCTAGTTGATCCCTATCGGAGAATTCCCTCAATTTTTCTTCCGATCACACACAAAAATTATAATTTCAAACAGAATTCGCAAAGTCGTATCCTCGTGAAAATTGGCTTATTTGAGGTAAAAATGCAACGTAGGGACAAAGTCACCTTCCCTCGTCGTCTATTTGTGGGCAGATTATTGAAATTGATAGACAAGATGATAGACAAAGAGGGCAATGAGAAAATGGAGTGATCCTATTGGTCGAAGCGAGTGGTTGCAACGGACAAAGAGGGTAGACTAACCGATGGCAACCGAGGAGAGACTTTACTACAGTTTGTCCATCATCCTCCCTCTTAGTCTACAAGAACCACGCGCTCCATCCAATAAGATCGCTCCATACTCCCTATCGATGGCGAAGGAATATTATCGCCTATCTGCAAACTGGATATTTTGCCGGATAAAGAGAAAGCTTCGCTATTTTGATACTTTTGAAGTTAGTTTTGCAGTTTCTCATACATCACAGCGTCATTGCAGCGCTCCCCTACAAAATTGGAGAAAAACTAAAATCATCAGCTTGCACATATTATACTGTAAAATGCGGAAAATTCGCTAACTGATTTTCCTCAAAATCGTCCGTTAGGCGGTATTATTCCTTCGCCCTCGCTCTATTTTCCTTGTCTATAGCTTTGTCCATCAATTTCAACAACTAGCCCGCAGTTCGAATCCTAGCAATTTGCCGCGAAAAAATTACCTTCTGTCTATTTTTGCGCCCTTTCGTTCCCACCTTGTGACGACGAGACAGACGGCAAAGTGATTTAGTAAGAGTATATTATCCATCTGCATGCACTCAATAGCTTAATACTGCCGTGCTAAGGGAGAACGCCGTACGAGTATTCGAGAGTTGCCAAATTGCCGCGGATAAAACGTTTATTTTCGAAGACAAATATGCGTATATTTTCTTCAAATTTTCAGACATTTTAGATAAAATTGCGAACAAAATTGTATGACAAAAATTGAAGCAAAATATTCACGATTTTCTTTGTAAATTAGGAGTTAATCGAAGGAAATATGGCAACGTCTGAATGCTCATACGGCCTTTTTCCCTCAGCACGGCAGAATAGAACGACGGTCGGATATCGAGATGTGCCTCTTTTATCTCTCGGGGTCGGCTTTGAATACCAATCGCGAGAACCGGGAGCCGAGGGTCCGTTGATCCCTCGATATCACCCGTTCCCGAAGTCGCCAGCCCTCCCTTGGACCTATCGACGTCAAAAATCGAATCGAAAAATCGAGATGCCTTCTCCGCTTACTTAATTGCTTTCCCGGGAATTAGTATGCAGGGAAAAAACCCATCCCGCGCTGCGCCTTTTTTTCGAGTCGCCTTTTCGCGGGAAGTTCATCCGTCTTTTTTTTTTTTTTTTTTTTTTTTTTTTTTTTTTTTTTTTTTGCACGCCGCGAATTCTTCGCGAGAGAAAAGTTCGCCTTCGACGGAAGGACAGCGAGTAACGAATGAGGTCTATTGAAAGCTGAAAGATCGACAGCAAGATTGCCAGATTCTGTTATAATGTGTGCATATTTCATATTCATTTATGCGGAGGATATTGCTCATTTTCAGCTCATCTGGCTGCTATGAACGACGGTGTGGTTTCGACTTAATCAAATGAAAACGTTATCCCGAATAGATGAGGAGAATTCCCTGGATTTTTGAGGAGAGGGCGGCAAGCCTGTTGTGAGCAGAGCGGGCTTTGAACTTTTGCCACCGATAAGGAATAGGCAAAAAACAGGGGTGATCGTGCGATCGTCCTGCTGTCGTGCGAGGGAAAAACGCCGTATGAAGCTTCGAGCGTTGCCCAATATCCTTGGATAAAAAATGAAATTATCTGGAAAGTTGCGAATATTTTTCTTCTGATTTTTTCCCAAAAATTTTACTTATAGTTTTATCTAAAATATCTGAAAATGTCAAGGAAAAATATGCATTACTTTATCCCTGAATAAATCTGTTTTCAAGGGAAATATGATAACATTCGAATGTTCAAACAGCATTTTACCGAAAATATTAGATATAT